TTCCTACTATTAAATCCATGAGCACAAAGACACTAATTATGCAATGTGGGTTCTAATACAGCACAATATAATGTTTGAAGTCCATACTACAATCCATTAAATTGCTAAACACAGATTGAGCAATTAAGTCATTTCTATCCGTTACATCCGTAAACATCATGCAATTTGTTTTAAACTTTCATATTGTTTAAAAATTATTAGCATATAAATCAAATGTTGCATCCTAAGGCTTAAATACACCATGAATTAATATTTAGAACCCTTTTAATATTCCAACATAGTTCAGAATCCCAAATTTAACCAAACAGTACGCAAAAACACCTCTGATACACTTCAAAACAACAAAGCCTGCTCACAAGAAAATGGAACAGGCTCAATCCACCTCAGAGCCGGCTCCCTAGACCTTAGAGCCGGCTCTGTGAAGAGGGGAGCCGGCTCCCAACCTCCTGGAGCTAGCTCTCTCTCTCTCACAGAGAGTTGCTTCCTTCGTTTCCTCTTCTGGTTCGTCTTCTTTACTTCCGACGCTGTTACAGAAGGTTCTATGATATCTAATACTATTCATAGGGTTCAATTCATGTCCCAAAATTCCTCATAAGGCATCCAAACTCCAGTATGCATCATCAACAGAAACTTAGAACACATATGAAACAACAGTTGATACGAAGAAACGGGTTAATTTTTCAGCACATAGACTATTTAATCTTGATTTAAAAACATACCAAATTTATTTACCGTCTGATTAAGACCCTAGAGATCATCTAGGAATGCATAGAACACAGGTCAAGGGGAGAGAGACAGAAAAGAACTTGCCTCTTAAGGTTTCGGTTTGAAACCTTTAACCGTCTTTTTCCTAGGTTTTCCAGCGACTTTAGTTTCCATCGAACCTCCTCTGCCACTCTTGGTTTAACCCACGAGCCAGCCCCTGTTCCTCCGCTTCCTTGGTTCAACCCTCTAGTCTGAAACCTAGCTTTTCTTCCTCTCAGTTTCTCTCTCTGTTCTCACCTCTCTCTCTACTGCTATAAGGGTTTTTCCTAACCCTATTGCAGACATCCTATGTATTTATAGGTTAAACCTACTCCAACCCTAATCCTTATTGAAATCCAAAACCGACGGAAAAAAAAAAACCTAATTACATAAAATATAATGATTAAATATATACATAATTTATAATTATATATATATATATATATATATATATATATATATATATATATATATATACGACCAACTAAATTCCTATTATTAACATAAATAATAAATAATTATGAATAATAATATTACTCTATCCTTACATACGTATATATTCAATTAAATATATACCACCATCCATATACGGGTAAATATTCGTACTCATCAAACCTCTTGTCCAAGTAGTTCTATGTGGCCCTTTGGCTGGTCCATTACTACCATCCAATTTCATTCTTTTTAAAAACATAAAAATCAAAATAAAATACATTTCTAAATAAAATTATAAGAAATTAAAATCTTTTAAGCACACAATAACAAACAACATCTAGACAATTCAATCAAGAACTATTTACATAAATTAAAACACACAAGCAATTAATTAACAAATCAATTAACAATTAAATCAATTTAAATAAAACATGAAATTATACAAACACAAAGTCACATAAGCACCTAAAATACAATAAAAATTTCAATTATATCCTTTTTAAAACTAGGTATTACAACAAGTGCCCAGTGTTCTTGCGTTTTGTCGAGTAGTCATGAATAGCAAATGGATCTGCTTGTGGATCTGTTCCTTTCTATGGTTTCTTCCGTTTTGGTTTGGTATTTTCATGTCACACACGAGTTTGCCAGCTGTTTTCGGTGTCTTCTGGGCTAAGTTGCAGGCTGTCGTCGTCCTTTGGCCATGGGATCCTGGGGGTGGTCTTTGGGTTCATGGTTTTCTTCAACTATGGGATCCTGTGGGTTTTTTCAATGGGGCTTGCTATATACATCTCTAGGTGTGGCCTCACATCTTAATTTGGGACCTCATGTTTTTTTTTTTTTTTTTTTTTTTTTTCATACTTTTTTGGTCTCAAGTTCTTTGATTTCGGTTCCATGTTGTCTCCTTTTATCATCGATGTACCTATAGATAATAAAATTGGTTTACTGGCTTGGGGCACCTGTACCGATTTTCTACTGGGGATTGTGTCATTACTGTTGGGAAACGTACTAGTTTTAAAAACTTTTCGAGGGATTTAAATTCATAGATCTTGATTCATTACATAGAGACAAGTTTTATGCAAAAATAAAACATGATGTATCATTCAATTAAAAGATTGAATACTTACATCAAGGTTTGAGTAAACCTTAGATCTCTCCTCTAAAGTGAATGTTCTCACTTATTGTAGATCCCTTAACAAGATGCATTCTCCTTGAATCTCCATCTTCTTGGTAATTGTTTTGCCTTTAGGAATCACTCATATGCCTCCATGAATGACCTTGGAAAACTAGGCTTGTGGGAGCCTCTATTAGATGAGAATATAAATCCTAATTTTCTAGAGAGAGAAAATATATTCCTTTTTCCTTCTACTAAAAATCACTCCTAAAATATACATAGACCATGTATATTTATAGGCAACATAAAGGTAAAGAAAATGAAACAACTAATCCTTATCAATCTCTAATTCACATGTCTCAAATCTAATATGATTCTAATATCAAGTTGGGTTATGAGTGAGAATCCATTGGGCCTATTATTTTATTGGCTACAATGAATTAATAATTGGCCCGGTCCATGGACCCAATTTAATTAATTCATAAATTAATTTCTACTCCACTAAAAGAAATTAATTGAACTCCAATTAAATAATAAATAACCTCTAAGTCAATATTGCACTTTGACCCCTCAATGCATAATTAGTTATCGGATAAATAAAACCATCAATCCGACTACTTAATTAATATATTTATTTTGGTACCTTTGATTATTTCTGGTTCGATTACAATAAAACATTTGTTTGACAAAAATAATAATTTAAATAAATAAATATATAATAAATCATTTTGTCTAAAAATACACGAAGGCTTTCGAATTTACTTTGTGATCAACCATAATCAATATAAAATAAATACAAGTAGCAATGATGCAAATATTGAAAATATAACCCTCTAACTATTAATTACATAACTACCCAAAGTGTCGGTGTAAGGATCCCGAAAAATCCGCCGAATAAATCAAAGTAATTATTAATTAATAAAAGAGTCTATAATTTTCTTATACTTAAGAGTCAAATGCCATGACGGTGATAGGGAGCAATTGCATACGACGGCTCTCGCAATATATCTCAACCTAACGCGGATCCAGTTCAAATCTTAATTAATTATGAGTCCATCGATAATTACCGACTATGAATCATTTATGATTACTATTTATATATCATGCATTGATTGCCATCACAAACATATATATAAATATCTCTTGTAATTAAATGGACACTATCAATCCTATAATGAATCAAAATATAATACATTGAATTCACCAATTGTATAAAATATAAATATTTCATAAACGTAGAACATATGTCACTTTAATCCAAACAGAAATTTGTTATGCCAGAGCATATAAATCCCAATAGTTACTTCTCTTTTCTCATCGGAATTTCGAATCTTCATCTTTGCCTCTCTTTCTTTTTGATCCAAGTATTGTTACGGTTGTTTTATTCTCCTGTTTGGTGCTAAATTGTAAATTGTGTTGCTTTGGGTCCTGCACTATTTACTGGACTTCCTTTATCCCTTTCCTTCCTAGTGTTATCTCTCTCTGGTTTCCATGCCGGATTTACGGTTCGGCAGTGATGGACCTCTCCTTCTCAAACCATACAGTTTGCATTATGGCGGGGTGTTATTACATCCTTTCAACGATGGGCGAACGTTTGGTTCATGGAATTTATGATGTTTTCTGGGTTTAGCGGCGGTTTGTGGTGGCCATAGGTGTCTCCGCTGCTCCGGTATCGCCGGCGACAACAGCATTGTCATCTTGGATTCCGGCGACCAGTTACTGTCTTCTTTCAATGCGAAGTACCGTGCAATAAATTGTCGAAAGCAATTATGACATGGAAAGTTGTGCTTGTGCGTGAAAGACACGATTTGCTTATAGGGCTTATCTTTGTTCACGTGACCCTAGTTCATAGCCTTTACTAGCTCCTTGGCAGACTCATTGGATAGTTGGTCTGCAATATGAATTTGACTTTTCATCTTATATCGTGGAATATGCATAGTTGTACTTTTGATGTGGTTGTATGTGGTCACCGCCTTGCCAAGGGATGCCTGATGTATTTCTTTTATGATTTTATAATATGTTATATGTTTGGCAGGTTAAAAATAATAATAATAATTTACTGTGTATGATTATTGAATATATTATTAACAAAATTGATATCCAATATTGTTTTAGCAATAACACAATCTTTAGTCAGGTCTTATATTATTGTATAAACGAAAATCTCTACATACTAAAATAAAAAAGAAAAACTGACTATGATTAAAAGAAAGAGAAAACAATTACGTGTTTTTTTAATTATAAAAACAGTCAGTTTCTATAAGGTTCTTTCCATCTGTAACAAATAAAATTTTACTAAACATAAACGTTTTGAAGGTCCTACCGGGAGTCGAACCCAGGTCGCTGGATTCAAAGTCCAGAGTGCTAACCACTACACCATAGAACCATTTGTGATCTTGTTTTCACTTTATTTTATAATTTTTCGATACTAGTGTCGTTATCAAAGGTTATTCTTCTAGCATTCAAAAACCAATTCTACTTCAACCCATATTCTTACCATTCTATTGTAAAATAAAATCACCCAAAAAGCAAAGGTACGCATCTTTGCAATTGTCGCATTGTTGGAGGCCTGGCTTCCACATGTTCAAAAGTTCGTATAAGTCTTGCATCATCTTTTATTTTTATTTTAATAAAAAAACAAAAAAATAAAAATGCAAATATTGTGCCCTAAAATGACACTCATCACTCATTTGTAAGTATGGTGTTACCAAAATAATTGAATTGCTACCCGCATGTCTAAAATCTAACTTTTAATATTATTCGAGACATGTATCCTCCGCTTCTCCTACAAAAAAAAAAACGGAGAAGGGTGGCACCGTGGCACACATTTCTAAGTTGCTTTTGGAAGGAATAATGTATAGAAAAAAGTATTTTGAGATACATTGTTGACCTACTCAATCTCAAGATTCTCAACCCATCATTTCTCAATCCTCATTTTCAACCTAATTTCAGTTTCTTTATACTCATTCAAACATGGAAGAGAACCAAAAACACAGTGATACTAGTCCCATCTATGACCTGATAATACTCGGTGCTTCAGGTTTCACAGGCAAGTATGTAGTCAGAGAAACCCTCAAGTTTCTCAACACCTCATCGTCCCCACTCAAAACCCTAGCCCTAGCTGGCCGAAACCCAACCAAATTATCCCAAACCCTGACATGGGCCTCTCACCCCAATCCACCTCCCTCCATCCCCATCCTCACCGCCGACACCACCGACCCTCCATCCCTGCGCCGGCTCGCCGCCCAAACCAAGCTCATCCTCAACTGCGTAGGCCCCTTCCGCCTCTATGGTGAGCCCGTCGTCGCCGCATGCGCTGATTCGGGCTGCGATTACCTGGACATATGTGGCGAGCCGGAGTTCATGGAGAGAATGGAGGCGATGTTCCATGAAAAAGCCGTGGAAAAGGGTTCTTTGGTGGTTTCCGCTTGTGGGTTTGATTCTGTTCCGGCGGAATTGGGGTTGATGTTCAATTCGAGGCACTGGGAGTCCCCATCAGCGCCGAACCGGATGGAAGCGTATTTGAGTTTGGAATCGGAGAAGAAGGTTGTTGGGAATTTTGGGACGTTTGAATCGGCGGTTCTGGGTGTCGCTAATGCGGATAAGTTGCAGGAATTGAGACGGTCGAGACCTAGAAGAGCTCGGCCTGTGGTAAGACAAATTTCTCTTTTTCATATGTGATTGATTTATATATATATACACACACACACACATGTATATGTATGTGTGATTTATTTAGTGTTCTTGTCAGTGTTGGAAACATTCTTGTTAGGGGTGGATTCAAATTGTTTCATTTCTTGTCCAAGAAAGGTCAAATTTACATATATTGTCCTTAGTTCTCGTGTATTTCTTACTTCTTTTATTTTATTTTTTGGTAGGTAAGCTTAATAGATATCAATTATCATTCAACAAAAGTATGTACAGGAATTTAAGAGGGGGCAATACCCTGTACAGGTTGTGCCAGAGGCTAAAACTAAACCCGAAGTACATGAGCAGCCTACAAAAAAAATCTTAGATATGCCATACAAAATAGAGCTATAATTAAGCTTGAGGACATTATCTCTATAACAAGGATTCAGGTGAATGTAAGTGCCATTTGCCTGCGGGATAGCATCTATAGCAGTTGAAATCCCTTTCCAGCTGAGTTGGAATAGTGAAATGAAGCCCAACAAAAATTAACCAGGCAACCAGCATGAGTAACTTACAGGTATTCACAGAAAATAGAGTGTAGTAAGTAGTTGAAAAGCCATACTAGAAAGTAGAACCCGACACTGTTAAGAACGATCTGAACAAATCCCAAACAACCTTTTCTTCATATAATTTACTTTCATATCTCTTTATGTTATGAGAAAATGTAGGAATAGGGTGGAATTTAGAGCTTATAATCTTAGATAATTAATTGTTCGAGAGATGTGAAATCTAGTAACTTCAACAAACTGATCCTTATACAACTTTGTGGCTTCCGTTTCTTAATTAAATCACCTAAGTAACATAATTCAAAATTTATTTGTTTTTCTCCTCTTCAGTTTGCTAGGCAATTACACAGTTTTTTTTTTTTTTCCCCATATTTTTATTTGTGGTTGGGTTTCATCCATTTTATCTTCCTCTGTTTTTGTTATTGCTTGAAAATAGAATTTGCTATCGTGGTTCATGTTTTCCTTCATTTGGACACATATTTTTGTTTGTGATCGAAGTTTTTGATGTGCTCGTTAGAAGTTGCCGATCTTGTTTTACCTTTCTTTTGTAGACGTAGAGTCCATAACTTCTTGCATTTAGAAAATCTTCAATGCAGACGATGATCTTTGGTTAATGGATTTTAGAAAATCTTCAGTGCATATGATGTTCTTTTGTTAAGGGATTTTGTTTTCATAATATTTTTTTGTTTGCACAATGACTGATCAAACAGCTTTTATTTTGTTTGGATCCGCGGTTTCAGCTCCTGAGCAAAAATTTATCATATTGCTCACTTGAATTATATTTTCAACTTTGAGTATCTATCTCAACATGTCAACCACAGTTTTGAGTTTTTATTACTATTTATTTATTTATTATTATCGCAGTTGTAATTGGTTTACTTACCCAAAAAAAAAAAAGAAAAAAAGAAAGGAAAGTTATTTTCATTATTTTTAAAATTTTCTTCTTTTCTTCCACGCTATGTAGTTTGTAAATTTATAAAGCACCAATGGATATTAATCCAAATGGCATGATCTCTCCTCCCCAAATGGGAGGTTGAGTGTTCTAGCCAGGCAGGGGCAATATTTGTGTGGGCGTGTTTGCATTTGCTTGAACTTTCAAAAATAAATAAATTATAAAGCTAGTATAAACTGTTAAGTCTATTATGAACAATGTTGATTCGATTAATTGCAGTAACTGGTGTTCTTTCCTTAATGATGGTTAACCGTTTGTACATGAGGTACGCCTAGTGCAAGTCTAACACTTATCATCCACAATCCCCCTAAGTACCTGTCAAATGGATACATTATCAGTGAAATGTCTGATATGATTTTACAGAGTAGGGGAAAACATATTTTTAGATTATTATTTTACTTTATTATTCTTACGATAACGAAAATTGAATTCTTACATTGTGCTTTATTCTGGATAATTTGAGCTCATTGATTGCTACGCATAGAAAAAGAAAAATAGAAGGCTTTGGATAATGATATTCAATTTTCCCATTGTTGGCAGATTCTTGGTCCCGCTCCTCCCAAAGGAGCGATTATAGAACACCAGAAGAAGATTGGTGTTTGGGCTGTAAAGCTACCGTCTGCAGATTCTATTGTTGTCCGAAGAACACTAGCAGTTCTGACAGAAAACCCCCGTGGTCTTCCCGGGGATAATGAGAGTCCCGAACATATTGAAAAAAGGGAAACTTTCTGGTCGACAGTTAAGCCGGCTCACTTTGGGGTGAAGATAGGGTCCAAGTCTCTCTTTGGCATCTTTCGGTTCATCACTATTGGGATGTTCATTGGGCTGTTGGGTAAAACTGCTTTAGGGAGGTGGCTTCTTTTAAAATTCCCGTCCGTCTTCAGCCTTGGGTGGTTTAGGAAAAAGGGTCCCACTGAGGATGAGGTGAGAAGTGCTTCCTTTAAGATGTGGTTTGTTGGACATGGATTTAGTGACTGCAGCCTGTTGTCACAAGGAGACATGAAACCTGATATGGAAATAATAACAAGAGTGATGGGACCTGAGATTGGCTATCTTACCACTCCAATAATTCTACTTCAGTGTGCTCTTATTCTACTGAGCCAACGCCAGAACCTGCCAAAGGGAGGTGTTCTCACCCCTGGGATTGTTTTTGGCCCAACAGATCTCCAAGAACGACTTCAAGAGAACGGAATATCTTTTGATTTCATTTCAAAGACTCTTCTTGCCTAACTGGTAAGGACTTTGTTGCACTAATAGAACAGAGCTTCGAGGCTTTTTTATTTTTTTCAGCAGTAGTGGCATATAATAATGAGTTACCAGTCATGTTTGTTTTAGCCAGTTAGTGTTTAACTTTAACGAGTTTCTGTTTTCTAGTAAATAACTAATCTGCTTCTTTGAGTCCTCATCTCAATATCATCTTTAGATGCTAAAAGAGTGATTCTCTTACTCCTATTCTTTACCAAAAAGCCTTTTTTCTTCACCTTCTCCATGAGAGCACATCTCCCACCAACTTGCACCTTCTCTATCGCCTTCACCACTCACCCTTTTCCGAGCAGGTATTGGGTACCCTGAGGGTACTGATAATATAGTACCCTGGCCAATCATAACCGTAGCTGTGGAGGAACCTGGAACTGCATGATTTGGGTACAGGTTGCAGACGCCGAATTACATTATTCATTTTCTCAGACCACTTGTATCTTGTGTAATAATAACCTGGGTTAAATTTCCCTCATTCACTAGAAACAACTACACTTCAAGTCACACATATAGTCTCTAATTGTAAGTTTCATATTTTCCCCAATCCACCTATTGTTTCCACCGTAACAAAGCTTCTTCATATGAAAACAATAGGGGAGACAAGTGTTAGGAATTAATCTTTCCAAGATCTCACACAACACGAAATATGCAATAGCAATAAAAGAACAAGAAAACACACACACGCAAAAATAAGTTGATTTATGTGGTTTGACAAATTACCTACTTTCAGGAATTGGATAACGACCAACTTTTTTTCAAAATATAAGGATTACAAATATCAATGAATCACCCCCCCCAACCCAACCCAACCCAACCCAACTCTCCCTCTCCACATTTTATAGAGAATGACTGGACGCATTCACCTTCATCAATTTTTTCCATTTTCTTTACGTCATAACATGCACACACATTACTTGACTGCCATATACATTATACATACACACACATGTATCACTACATAACACACAACAATAATCACCATCTCTCACTTCTTTTGTTTGCTGTGGGATTACAAATATTATTACTTCTCCCAACATTTGAGCCAAAATAGAACATTTAAGATGTCTCCCGCCATACAGAAAACGCTAAAGCTCCATTATTTCTCTTATTCATCACCAATAAGGGCAACTATGTTGTTGAATGATACAGAAAGCGTCATCATCTTGGCAGATGACGACTTAAATGTGGATAGAAGCCTAGAAGGCTAGGAATTAGACAAGGGGAAGTGGATCGGTGGTGAGAATTGAATTGGTGTGCTTTTCTAATTAATTATGATCGGGACCAGGCAGAGAAGGAAAACCATATAAATTCAATAGTTTGAAAAATTGCAAAGAAATGTAGATATTTCCAGCTCTCATCATTTCTGTCATACAAGTGGCCAAAGTGTGACTGAAATCAAAAGCCTAAAATAATCTGTTCAAAGCTGATCAGCCGTGAACAATAGAGACTGACAACCAATTAAAAGCAATTGGAAGAGAACTGATAAAAGTGGAACTAAGAAGATACATAATATGGAAAATATAGATATTAGTTCTAGTGTTTGTGCTTCAACATTTCAATGACTTCCATCAACACCTTCTCGGAAGTCACACCAGTTTCTCCAGCTTTCTTAGCCTCTTTACGGACCATCCTAGCCTTGTTCCTCAAGTTCTCATCCCCCATCATCACAGCAATCTTCTCTGCAATCTCTTCCCCATTCACCAATCTCTCTCCACCCCAACCCCAATCCCTTATCCACATCCCCAACCCCGCCTTCACCGCCACCTCTGCGTTTATTTTCTGGTCCTCGTGTTGCGGCCATGCCAACACAGGTACCCCTACTTGAGCTGCTTCCATCACCGTGTTCCATCCGCAGTGGCTAACAAAAACTCCAATGGCAGGGTGTGCCAGAATCTTCTCTTGGTCCGCCCATCCCTTGATTACCATCCCCTTATTCTTAGTTCTTTCAAGGAACGTTTTGCCTAGCAAGTCTTCTAGCTCTTCGCTATCGTCTTTGTCCACTTTGTTGCCTTTTATTACCCATAAAAATCCACACCCACTTCTCTGCAACCCATTTCCAAGTTCTTTTATTTGATCCTTGCTCATGGTTGTTCTGCTTCCATAGCTAACATACACTATAGATTCCGCACTTTGCTTATCTAGCCATGGAAGATGGTAGTCTTTATCGAGATAACAAGGTTCTAATGGCCCAACTGGAAGAAGTGGTATTGTGATATTGCTTAAATCTATTCCATTGTTGAGTGCAGTGATCGTTTCTGTTTCAAATGAGTTAAAAGTGTTTATTATGACACCTTTTGCTTTTGGGAGAGCGAGCGCGTTTGATGTTAGCAGGCCTGTGAAAGGATGATTTGGGTTGAAGAAGGGCGGAAGAATGCTTCATATTGGTAATGCAGGGAGACCAGGGATCTCGACATTTTCACTACTACTAAATTTAGCAGTGTTTCCAGATAAAACTAGAAAAGGTAGGTAGGCCAATAGAGCGAGAAATCTGGCATAGCTGGTGAAGACAATGTAGTTGGGTATGCAGAGATCATCAGCAATCTGACTAATACTTGTTGTGACAGAAAGGTCGGAGAAGATGGCAGAGAGAGGTGGAGATGAAGATAATAAGAGGGGACGAAGAAGATGAACGGAGCGATGAATGGCTTCAAATTGAATAAAGAAAGGGTCGTCAGTGGTGGGATTTGAAGGCAAAAATGGGAGGATTTGAAGCTCGAGACGCTTGATGTGTGGAAAGGTAGAGAAGAAGGCAGAGATGTGAGTAGACTCTGCAGCAGAGACAGAGGGCTCGACGGTGATAAAGGTGACAATGCAGCCTCGTGAAGCTAACATCGCAGCAAGCCGAAGGAACGGGGTCAGATGACCCATTCCAGCACTTGGGAATAAGGCTGTGCGGTGGTGTACCCTGGAATTCACTGGTGTTCGACATAGTTGGTGACTCAGTGGTCAATAGGTTAACTTCAGTGGATGATTTTTGTAGTACACACAACACACATACACACACACACACGCTAACATTCGAGTATCACATATATAATAATCTTACATTGGTAGATGGGAGGAACTGGCATAACCTTATGAGTCCTATCTAACGGTCAAATGCAGTATATATGCAGTAAAAATGGCAGATTGGGCACTTGAAAAAAATGCACAGTATCCCCAGGTATTACAAAAGTCTATAAAGCCCCAAATCTACCAGTCAAAAGAGGTGGGAGAACAAAAACTCAACAAAAGAAATCTCCCGCCAGGCATCCAGCACCTTGAGCGAAAGTAAAGAGTGACCCATACAAAGCCTGGACTGCACAAAGAATTCTCAAAAAAGGAGAAAACCATACTTAAAAAATAATTTATTTATTTATTTTTATTTTTTTTTAAGAAGGAAACACTAACCAGAATTTATTTATTTATTAATTTTTTTCCAACCCACTAGACATCCAAATAGCCTAACTTAATATAGAAACACAACCGCATCCAGAATCAGGATAAATTATTAGGTAGTCTTTGTCACTTACAATGCGCCATGGAAATACTTATTTATGTGATAACTTGGGACAATATATTTAGATATGGCTGTGAGAGATGGCCCCATACTCTCACGTGTACAAGCCCTCATGTTCCGTGCTGTGGTGCCAAATTGTGTTGGGTTTGGAGCTTTGATATATTATATGACTTATTTGTTCACAAACTATGAATGTTGAAAGATATGCCCGCACAAAGGCAATTGGCGAGAGGGACGCCTTGCGCTAGAGCATCCACGGAAGGAACACCCACGCACATGATGCCCGCGTGAGGGATTCCCACGCATCGGACATCCTCTTCTATATTTCTCCTATTGATTTGCCCTCGTTATAGGAATCTTTCGGTCCATCACTGTTGGGATGTTCATTGGGCTATTTGGTAAAACTGATTTGGCGAGGGGCTGTTTTTAAAATTTTCGTCAGTCTTCAGCCTTGGGTGGTTTAGGAAGAAGGGTCCCTTTGGCTCTGATGATGAGGTGAGAGGTGCTTCCTTTAAGTTGGGGTTCATTGGAAATGGATTTCTTGACTGCAGTCTTGTGTCACAGGGAGACGTGAAACCTGATATGGAGATAATAATATAAGAGTGATGGGACCTGAGATTGGCTATCTGACCACTTGGCACTCCAATAATTCTACTTCAGTATGCTCTTATTCTACTGAGCCAACGCCATAACCAGGTGTTTTCACCCCTGGGATTGTTTTTGGCCCAACAGATATCCTAGAAAGACTTCAAGAGTCGGAATATCTTTTAATTTCATTTCACAGACTCCTCTAGCCCAACTGTTAAGGACTTTGTTGCACTAATAGAACAGAGTTTTGAGGTTTCTTTTATTTTTATTCAGCAGTGGCATATAATAAGTGAGTTATGTTTGATTTAGCCAGTTTGTGTATTAGCTTAAATGAGTTTCTGGTTTCATCTGAAAACTTGTTTGAGTCCTCATCTCAAGACCATCTTTAGATGCTAAAAGAATGCTTCTCGTACTCCTATATTCACAAAAAGCCTTTCTTCTTCCCTTCTCCATGAACAAATCTCCCACCGACTTGCACGTTAATCCATTGAAATAGCTGCTTACCCTCAAAAGTGGTATACACCGGTGATCCAACTGGTTTACTATCAGACCATTCTAATGGCTGATTCCTCCCAAAATCACATGGTGCAAATGGGCCAATAACACTCACTAATGGTAGCCCTTCTACTACACTAAGTGCCGACCAACTGACTTGCTCAGAATCTCCATAATTATTGATCAGATCTCCATTTAATTGTATCATTTTAAATCTCCATATCTTTAGAAGATTACCAATGCCTAACAGTGGCTATGGAGGAACCTCAAGATTTGGGTATAGGTTGCAGACGTGAAACTCACACCCCTTGAGGTTACTCCTAATTGCACTACTCACCTTTCCTCCCTGATATTTGGCATGTGAATTCACACCCCTTGATTTTGCGTGCTGGACATTGAAACTTCCTACTAAAAATTGTACAAAAGGTAACTGAAATCAAAGGCACAAAATAATCCTTTCAAAGCTGAACAGATGTGAACAATAAAGACTGACAA